CCAAATAGAATAAATAGGAAAGAGATTGATTTTATCCAAATAGAATAAATCCAAAAAATCCAAGCCATGAGACATCATAATTAAACCGCAGACTATGATATGTATGTATAATAATTAGAGTAACCATTTAGAAACCTATACAAAGCAATATGCTAAGATAAACCAAGACATAATCTTAAAAACGTTTAAGAAACCAATAAGAATAAAAGAGAAAAATAAGAAAGAGAACCAAAGAAAACACAAGTAATAAAATGGCATACTCAGATGCTCACATACCAGTGATTACTAAATGTAAATGGTCTAAATATACCAATTAAAAGAGACTAGAAAAAAAAAGAACACTGACCTAAGTCTCGCACATTATTAAAAAATTAACACAAAATGAATCATAGTCTTAAACGTAAAATAAAACAATAAAACTTTTAGAAGTAAAACATAGGGAGAATTTTCTAGACAGAGAGGTCTTAGATTTTACAAAAGCATGATCCATTAAAGAAAGACTGATAAATTGAATCTCATCAAAAGTAAAAATGTTTGGGCCTCCCCAGTGGCGCAGCGGTTGAGCGCTGGTTTGCAAGGCTGCCCGCTGCCTCTCCAGCGCTGATTCAATCCCCAGCCACTGGTGAGGGTCCCACATGGCGCACAGACCTCTCCTGCCACCCACTGCTCCCCTCAGCAGTGTACTTCGTCAGTCTGCCTGTTCTGTTCCCCACTCTGGCTCTGGTGAATTCTCTCACCCTCCCGCGCTTCTGACTGTACCCAGTGCTTGTATAAATAAATAAATAAATCTTAAAAAAAAAAAAAAAAAAAAGTAAAAACATTTGCTCCACAGAAGTCTTTGTGATGAGGATAAAATTGGTAGAAAAATGTTTACAAACCACATATCCAGAAAAGGACTCATATCTAGAGTATATAAAGAATTCTCAAAACTCCACAGTAAAAACATAAAAATTCCAATCAGAAAATAGTCAAACCATATGAACAGATGTTTTACCAGAAAGAATATCCAGGTATTAGTGCATGGTTATGAAGTGAATTTTGTCCCCTCTACCCCCCACCCCCACCCAAATTCATGTTGAAGCCTTAACCTCAATGAGACTATATTTGGAGACAAAGTGTTGAGAGCAGTAATTAAGGTTAAATGATGTCATTGAGGGCAGGCCCTAATCCAGTAAGACCGGTGTCACTTATAGAAGAGAAGGAACTCCAGAGAGTTCTCTCTCTCTGCAAAAGCACAGAGAGACCACATGGGGAGACTCAATGGAAAGGAGGGAGACTAAGAATCAGAAACCAAATCTGATAGCAACTTGATCTTGGATTTCTACCTTTCAAAACTGTGAGAAAACACATTTCTGTTATCTAAGTCACCCAGATTGTGGTATTTTGTTATGGCAACCCTAGCAAACTAATGTATATACAAAAAGATGTTTGCCAATATAAGCCACTAGGGAAATGCAAATTAAAGCCACAATGAGATACTACTACACATTTAACAAAATGGTTAAAATAAAAATTATAAGAAAGATAAAATCTTGCCATTTGTGACAACATGGATGGACCATGAGGATATTATCCTAAGTGAAATAAATCAGAATGAGAAAGAGAAACACTATATGATTTCACTTAAAACAAACAAAACAAAAACTCTTAGAGAACTGGTGGTTACCAGAGGAAAAGGGGATTGGGGAGTAGGGGAAATAGGTAAAGGGGGCCATGGGGAATGATGGAGAATGGAAACTATACTTTTGGTGGTGATCATGATGTAGTATATACAAATATCAAAGTGCAATGCTGTACAACTTTAGAAGACTGAACAACATATATAAACAGCTAATAGAAGCAATACAAATATAGAAGTCTAAACTTCAGCAATAAAAAAATACAAATTAAATAAAAAATGAAGTGAGAACTCCCTGGTGGCGCAAGGGGTTGTGATGCAGTACTATGAAGCAATCCACAGCCACTGCAGCACGAGTTTGATCCCCAGCCAGGGAGCAACCCACATGGTGCAGCAGACCTCTCCTGTCTTACCCGCTGCTCCCCTCAGCAGTGTATTTCAGTCGATCTGCCTGTTCTGCTCCCCACTCTGTCTCTGGTGAATCCTCTCGCCTCCCCACACCTCTGGCCTGCACCCCAGCTCTTGTATGCATATATATAAATAAATCTTTAAAAAAACAACAATGAAGTAACATCTTTTTCACTCAAGAAATAAAGTAAAAATTTGAGAAAAATTAAGACTCTAATATTAACAAGATGTAGGAAAATGGCCACTTTACAAATTACCAGTCAAATATTAATTAATACTATGTTTCCAAAGGAAAGTTACTATAATATCTATTAAAATTTTAAATTGGCATTTACTTTCAGCAATTTCACTTTTAGGACTTTATCCTATTGAAACAATGAACACAGGAATATAAATATAAATACTATATGTAAAAATAAATACTGGGAAAAATCTCAGTGCTGAAAAAAAGGCATAGTTAAGTAAATTATGGCATATACTTAGTAAGGAAAACACTGCAGCAGTGAAGAACAAGATAGGCCAATTTTCATTAACATGGAACAATTTCCAGTGTACATAGCTGCAAGTGGCAAAAGTCATACAAAAAATATTTAATGAATTGTTATGCTAAAAACTACTCTATTAAGAGATATACTTTTATTTTTTTAAAAAAGATTTATTTATGCATACAAGAACTGGGGTACAGGCCAGAGTTGTGGAGGGTGAGAGGATTCACCAGAGACAGAGTGGATTGACTGAAATAAACTAATGAGGGGAGCAGCGGGCGAGTCAGGAAAGTTCTGCTGCACCATGTGGGCATCTCCCTGGCCAGGGATCGAACTCGTGTTGCAGTGGTTGCGGATAGCTTCATAGGTTGCGTCTTAACCCCTTGCTTCACCAAGGAGGCCCACGAGATAGACTTTTAATACCTTCGGAGCTTATATATAATGCATTACATATATTAAAGAAATATACTTATAACAAAGGTAAAGGAACAAAGAAGGATCTAGAAAGATAAACACCAAACCATGAAAAAGTTTTATCTCCAGTAAGAAGGATGCAATCAGCAGGGGAAAAAAAGGAAATTTCTTCTGTAAATTTATTTAATTTCATGTGTGTATGTACTACTTATATATTTGGTTAACAAAAGTTAAGTGTTAGTTAACACCAAACAAAAAAATCTCTAACAGGTAAATACCCCCCAAATTTAAAACTTTAAACTTAATACTTGCAATTTTTTTATTTCTCCATTCAAATATTCTGAAATACTTTATTATTGATATTTAAAATTGAAGAAACTACGACAAACAAAATATCCTTGGTAAAGCTGTAAGAAATGCATGGTTCATTGACATTTACTATAATAGAAAAAATTGTAATAAAATGTAATAGAAGTACTTAATCCTAGCAGATTTTAAAAAGTTTCTACATTTACATAGACATGTATTAATTAAAATAATTAATTCAAGGTTTATTAACATTGACAGTAAATATTTTAAATGGAGACATATTTATTCACAGTCAAAGAGAGGTCATAAAATGCAAATAACCATTCTATTTGAATGTCTGTATAGGGCCTCCCCGGTGGTGCAGGGGTTAAAGACAGCACCAGCCACTACAGAATGAGTTTGATCCAGTCTGAGCAGGGAGCAACCAACATGGCACAGCAAACCTCTCCTGTCTCACCCACTGCTCCCCTCAGCAGTGTATTTCAGTAGATCCACCTGTTCTGCTCCCCAACTCTGTCCCTGGCGAATCCTCACACCCTCACCCTCCCACACCTCTGGCCCGTACCCTCCCTGGTGGCGCCAGGGGTTAAGATGCAAACTATGAAGCTGTGCGCAGCCTCTGCAGCATGAATTAGATGCCCGGCCTGCCAGGGAGCAACCCACATGGGGCAGCAGACCTCTCCTGACTCGCCCACTGCTCCCCTCAGCAGTGTACTTTGGTCAATCAGCCTGTTCTGTTCCCCACTCTGTCTTTGGTAATTCCTCTCATCCCAACCCCCAACACTTCTGGCCTGTACCCCAGCTCTTGTATGCATAAATAAATTTAAAAAAAAAAAAAAGAAAAGTCTTTAGGGAGACTAAAACACTGATTAGATCCTACAGTGTTAGGAGCCCTTTAATTCAATTCCAATTTCAATGATTTAGAGTCATATACCAATTTTAATGTTTAGGCATTCTTTTCAACATGAAAAACTTATTCCATAACTGTAAATATTCAAGACTATTTGAAAACAAATGTTGTTTGGTATCAAAAATTACCAAAATTCACCTACCTGGTGGAGCAGGCGGTTGAACGCAGCTCTGTGAAGCCTTCTGCATCCTCTGCAGTACCGGTTCAATCCCCACCAGCCATGGAGAATACCCATGTGGCGAGCAGACCTCTCTTGTCTCACTGGCTGCTCCCCTCAGCAGTGTATTTCAGTCAGTCTGCCTGTTCTGTTCCCCGCTCAGTCTTTCGTGAATCCTCTCACCCTCCCGCACATCTGGCCTGTACCCTGGTTCTTGAATAAGTAAATAAAAATCTTTTTTAAAAAAATTACCAAAATTCACCTGAGTTTTGCTAGACAAATCTTTCCAATGATAAAATTAAGATATATATTTATGGTGGAAAAAAAAGTGTGACCCATCTCAACTTAGTTACTGGGTTAACTGGTTTCAAATGATTCAGATAAAAAAATATATGCCTCAAAGGAATATTCAAACTATAACTAATAATTATATTTAGTGATTATTAACAATTAATGAGCAAATTCAAGTGTATTAAAATCCAAATTATACCTGCTATACAGAAATTCTAGAAAAACATCCGAAGTCAACATTCTGTACTTTTCTTTCAAACTAAATGACAGACTGGGCCTCCCCTGGTGGCGCAGCGAATGAGCCCTGGGTTGGGAGGCTACCCGCAGCCTCTGCAGTGCCAGTTCGATCCCCAGCCACTGGGGGGAAAATAAATAAATAAATGACAGAAAAGAATAACAAACTCCAACCTTTTCATCTTGGCTTCATTTTCAATTTTGTACTGTTCAAAATCTTGACTAAGATCCTGTAGCTTTTCTTGAAGTCTCTTTTCACGATCTATACTTCCTTGATAAAATTTCATCTCTTTTTCCATGGCTTTTACTTTTTCTTCCATAGACTTAAACTCATGAAGAATTAAATAGCTGACTCCACAGAATTTACAGACTTTTTCTTCAGGGGACATCTAGAAAATAGAACATATATTTACTGAAATGATATTTTTTTTTTTTTATAGAGGCATGGTTATTTATTTGTTTGCTTGTTTGCTTTGTTTATACAAGCACTGGGTATAGTCAGAAGTGCGGGAGGGTGAGAGAATTCACCAGAGCCAGAGTGGGGAACAGAACAGGCAGACTGATGAAGTACACTGCTGAGGGGAGCAGTGGGTGGCAGGAGAGGTCTGTGCGCCATGTGGGACCCTCCTCCCGTGGCCGGGGAGCAGCCGGGGATCGAACCGGTGCCGCAGAGGCCACGGGCAGCTTCGCAACCCAGCGCTCAACCGCTGCGCCACCGGGGAGGCCCTGAAATGATATTTTTTAAATTCTAAAAAATAAAGTTCAGCTGAAGATGTTACAGCTACTGTAAAGTATATGGTACTATGCCATGGGTAGTAATTCCAATGCTGCCTACATCTGGATAAGCGTTTAAAAACAGGCATGATATTGACTCTGACACAAAATCTTGGAATTAGAAAAGGGCCTTTTACAGTAACTATTTTTCCATGGTATCTCAAGAAAGATATACTCTTGAAATATTTTCCATCAAATACAACATTTTTACCATTTCTATTTTAAGATGAGTTTTCCAAGAAGTAGAAAGGAATCATTCACTTTTCACTGCTAACTACTGTTATAATCCTAGAAATGCCACTTGACCTTTTCAGATCATATTTTCCTCAATTGTGTAATTATGGGGTTGGACCAAAAACTTTAAGTTCCTGCTCAGTTTTAACATTTTATGATTTTTATACACTTTAATATTCCATCATAAAAATAATAGGAAAAACACTTTGAACTTAATCTCTCTCCATGAGTCAGTTCTTTTCCCCTTGGGTAGATATTATCACATACATTTTATAGATAAGAAAATGGAGACTACTCAAGTTAAATAACCAGCTGATAGGTGATACTGGGATAAACCCAAGTCTATTTAAAACCAGCATCTATGCCTGCAGCCATTTGTTTTATTTTTATCTACCATGTGTATTTCAGCTAAATTCCCTTACTTCCTCAAGTAAAATGTCCTTCTATCTCTGTCCACCACAGCATAGCAAAAAATGGAATTTCAGCTAAGTCAAGAGGGAGTTTTTTTCCTGAATCATATATAAACATTACTCAAGCAGCCACCACTTGTCTTACTATTCACAATTGATAAAAGACAGCTTCAGGGAACTGAAATCAAAGCAACTCTTAAGTTATTTGAGGAGTACTTACTTCTAATGCAACTCCCTTAAGAGTAGAATCTCCTATAGCTAAAAATGGAGCCAATATATCTGTCTATCAATGCCATTACAGGATTTCATTAGAAAAAAACTAGTAATGAATTGTTATACTATAAAATTTTATTCATGTAAGCCACAATAATAAAAATTTCAAATTAAGAACCATAATATAACACTGTGGAATACAAAATGTCTACATGAATCATCTAACTGGCATTGATGCCAAATTTACAGATTTCTAAAGCACAGGTTCAAAAGAAATTTTTTAAAAACCTGTTTCAAGCACTATGTGGGTTCACTGAGTCTATTCCAACCTAGATAAGTGTTATCCAGATCCTATTCTGACATCCCAAACGATGGAAACTATCTTATAAAGCAGTTTGTTCCATCTTCTGATCATTTTCTCTATCAGGGAATTTTTTCTTTTGCTGGCCCCAAAACTGCTTCCCTGGAGCATCCACTGGTCCTAGGCCTCCTAGTCTTGGTCACTATTATATTTAAAGATATCAGGGGCATTCCATATCTACTCTTTTCCAGATCAACACTTCCAAATTCTTCAGCTGTTTCACATAAGAAAAGATTTTTAATTCCTTCCTCATCCTAGATAATTTTCTCTGAACTTATTCCAGTATTCTATATCTGTTTCAAAGTATGGTATCCATAATTGATCACTTCAATGTGGTTGCTCTCACTAAAAGAGAGTAAGAGAGACTTCAAACTTCCCTCATTGTAATATCTCATTAGAAATATCTTCTAACATGCCCTTAGTTCACAATAGTTGTATTTTCAGCACTTGTCTGTTGCTATTAAATGCTGTAGTGGCTCTTTTGTAAATAAAGCCCCTATTTAAAAAAATAATGCAGTACCAAACCATGTCTCATCATACTGAACATATCAAATCAATTCCTTCATACTTAATAGCTCTATTTTTTTTTTTTAGAGAATGCACTTTCCACAATCCTGTCTGCTGTTTGGTGATATGATTAAAACGTCTTCCACCCATCTACCTTTGCTATGGCTGACTGGTGAATGAGGACTGGAAACTGTCCCAGATGAGCCAAGCCCTAAACTAAGCTGAGCTGACCAGGCCTGCAAACATTGAAGACCCGATCATCTTTGGAGTCAGAAAAATGGAGAAGGGTCATAATTAAGATACAGAATGAGTCACATTTCTGGAATGAGAGACAAGAATGAACAGACACACACACACACTCACACATATACACACATATACACAATCACACACATACACAGAGAAAATAAGACAAAGATAGTGTAAATCCAGAGAAAAAGAAAAACATCTTACGTTTTTCATCTTATGTCATCATCTTACACCTGATGTCCTTCCAGGCCCTCACATTAGTTCCTTTGAGACCTTGCTGCCCCACACCACATACCTTATGGAATCTAAGCCCAATCTTCCTCTACCATTCTCTTTACTATTCCTTGTCTACTACAGTTCCTAGATATAGTAACCTTATACAAAATGAAATGGCAAGGACTACATGCTGGTTTTCTTAATGAACATAAAATTGCCCAAGGGTCATATATACTCACAAATCACCCATGAATGTAACATATTACATTACATTTGAGTTTACTGGTTATAATTTATGGGTCATTTTACACATGGACTAATATTTGTGCATTATCCCCTTACTCTCTACATGTCTTCAAAGATTACCAAGAGTGGTCCTGCAGTCCATTCAAAGGCCCAATCAATCCTTGGAATACAATTCATTCAGGCCAAGGGACCTGAATTCATTCAGAGAACACAGGTATTTTCTTACAATTCTTTTGCCCGTCTTTCATTCTGGCTTCTTCTCATCAATATGAAAACTGCTTGATAAATCACAATACATTGCCTACTCCAAGGCACTTTCATCCTTAGCCTTCTGCCTGTTTATCAGAGTTCTTGCCTTGTCCCTTACAAAGTGCTCCATCCTTTCACTAAAGAAAACTCTTGCTGGGTGGAGCTCACTTGCACAAAATAGAAGTAGTATAAACTTCACAGACAGGAAAGCTAATAGAATAGCATTCCACATAGTAACTGTAGGGGGAAAGGTGAAATAAGTGAGGCAATACATTTTAAACCAGTAGGTTTTCTAAAATTTCAGCAATGAAAGCGAAACATGAGATTCATTATAATCTTGGAAGCAAGACAATCAAATTATAAATAATAGGTCTATAATGCTAGTCTCCAGATTTTATGTAGCATAACCTGAATTGCTGAGAGTTATGTTTAATAAGCATATTGCACAAAAGTTTTCAAAGCCATTAAATTGTAAATAATTTTCCATAAATAAAATTACCATAGAAAAAATACAATATTCTTTTCAAATTCTTACTGTCTATATGGGTTAATTACTTAGGACATTACTGTGAAACTCGAAAAGATATGAAATACTGTAATTATGCTCCCAAATGAAGTAAACAGTATTCTTTTTTGTGTGTGTGAAATATAATTTGTGCACCATTCTTATAACTTGGTATTATATCATCTCCTTGTTTTGTAAGTAAAATAATGACAAGCTGTCACTCTTAACAAAAGAATCCTTATCATTAGCAGGATGTTTTTGCTTTCCACAAGATGTACTTTCAGAAGGAATTAACAAATGTAGTATATTAAACAAATGCACAACCATTTACAAATAAATTATAAAATAAACCTAAGTGCAGTGTTTGTACTTTAAAAATTATACTGACTACAAAACTGATGCAAAATTTTTAAGATTTTTAAAAATCTTCAGATCTTTTTCAAAATGTCTATCTGTGCTTCGATTAGAAAAAGCACCCCGTCCATTCCTGCTGCAATTGAAGCATTCTCTGCTCCAAAATCCCTCTTTCTCTCCCCACCCATCCCATATTTTCTGTGATTGGATAAGGGGAAAGACACACAGATAAACTATTCCACAAAAGTGAGTGATAGCAGGATAAAATCTTAGCCTTTCTAAGAGGGTTTGCATGAAAAAAAGTTGCCATTACTCAAAACAATGAGCGTTTAGTTAGTGAATTTCATTCAGATAAGGAAACATTTTAAGGCAGGATAGTGGATCTTTCTAAGTCACATAAACACCTGACCATTTCATAAGGCCATTAGTACCCTTCCTCGTCAATAAGTCAACTTGCTGTACCACCAATTTAAAAATCAATTTGGTAAAGTGCATCTACAAAAACACTTACAGCTTCATTATTCTTAATGGTGAAAGACTGAGTGCTTTTTTCCCTAATATTAGGATCAAGGCAAGGATATCCACACTCTGTATTCTTATTCAACATAATACTAAAAGTTCCAGCCAGAATAATAAGGCAAAAAAAGAGGAAATAAATGGTATATATATCAGAAGGGAAGAAGAAAAAAAAGTCCCTATCTGATAGCATGATTGTCTAATTAGAAAATCCTATGGTATCTATAACAAAACTCCAAAAACCAGTAAGTTCAGCAAAGTCACATGATTCAAGATAAACATGCAAAAACTAGTTGTATTATTTCTCTATATTGCCAGTGAACAGGGACAGTGAAATTAAAAATATAATACCAATTACAACTGCTCAAAAAATAGGTGTAAATCTAACAACACAAGTACAAGACTTGCATGATAACACTACAAAACACTAATGAAATTTAAATAAACAGACACTGCACTTAAGAGTTGGAAGATTCAAAATAGTAAAGACATCAGTTCTCCTCAAATTTGTATATAGGTTTAATATAATTTGTAACAAAATTCCAGCATGATGTT